AATTTTCTCTTCCGATCTTGAATGCAAAATATTTTAGCACATAAACAACAGCCTTCCTCAAGTGTGGCAGGTATTGAACATTGGCAGGAATAAAGGCCCTTTCCAAAAATTGCTCTTGCCTTGCCCGGGAATCGAACTCCCGCCTGATTTTATTTTCGGAGTGGTAAGAAGACCTTAAAGTAAGCATTGGTGGTTCAGTGGTAGAATTCTCGCCTGCCACGCGGGAGGCCCGCGTTCGATTCCCGGCCAATGCACTTCCTTTAAGTTCTAATGAGTAGCCCGAATTCACATAGTTCCTTACGCCGTGTTGATGAGAGAAACTGGAAAGTACTACCTGGGAATCTGAAGCTCCAAGAGATCAAACAAGCTGTTCACTGTTGACAAACTGTTCATCAGACAATCGCTCAATACTGACAGATATAAGGGCCCTTGGATTTCATCAGGACAATATGGATGGAAAGAGGAAAAATCTACTCATGTGCTCCATGGACAACCAGAACCAGGAAACTATGGCAAGCCTGACAGAAATAAGGGCCATTGGATTTCATCAGGGCAATATAGATGGAACGAGGACAAATCAACTCATGTGCTCCATAGACAGCCAGAACCAGGAAACTATAACAAGCCTTTAAGGACGCCAACATTTCATTTAACATTTTGTCATCAGAAGAGAATGGGGAGAGTCTGATGTCCACTTATAAGTTGCTTTAGATGACCTGCTTTGCGTCTACATCCTGTTCCTCCTGGTCTCCACAGACTTGACCCCTTTATTGTGGACTCTGCCATTGTCACCCAACGGAATGTTGACTTTGGGCCTCGTTGGCGCAGTAGGCAGCGCGTCAGTCTCATAATCTGAAGGTCGTGAGTTCGAGCCTCACACGGGGCATTTGTTTTGTAGTGTATTCATTTGGTTCTTGATGGTGATCTGGCGGATAACGAGCATGATTCAACGCCATCCATTTCAGTATTAAATGGCAAGGAAATCCTGTGAACAATGAGTTGCCCGAATTCACATAGTTCCTTACGCCGTGTTGATGAGAGAAACTGGAAAGTACTACCTGGGAATCTGAAGCTCCAAGAGATCAAACAAGCTGTTCACTGTTGACAAACTGTTCATCAGACAATCGCTCACTACTGACAGAAATAAGGGCCCTTGGATTTCATCAGGGCAATATGCATGCAAAGAGGAACAATTTACTCATGTGCTCCATGGACAGCCAGAACCAGGAAACTATGGCAAGCCTTTATGGACACCAACATTCGGTCGTCCACTTATAAGTTCCTTTAGATGTCCTGCTTTGCGTTTGCGCCCTGTTCCTCCTGGTCTCGACAGACAGTCTTTACAGTTGTCCAAAAATATATTCTCCATTATAGGTGGTTCAGGGGCATTCTTTTTCTGAATGTCTGTACTGCATGGCTGTTAACCACATCAACAAAAAAGTGCGTACTCTCCCCGTCGGGGAATTGAACCCCGGTCTCCCGCGTGACAGGCGGGGATACTGACCACTATACTAACGAGGAGATGTTCGACTCTCCTGACTCCGCCCACCTAATTCCAGTCCTTGCCAATGCAAATCTTGTAAATGAAAACAAATTGCTCTTTCAGCCAGACTCTTTGATTCCCCTTCTTGCTCTATGCTACGGACGATTACTTTTCTTCCCTCCGTGAGCTCATCTGCGTTTGACGTATCAACCTTGAGACCTCTTGAACAGGTCTTGGCTTGGCCCCTTTATGCTGGACTCCGCCATTGTCACCCAACGGAATGTTGCTTTTGGGCCTCGTTGGCGCAGTAGGCAGCGCGTCAGTCTCATAATCTGAAGGCCGTGAGTTCGAGCCTCACACGGGGCATATATTTTGTAGTGTATTCATTTCTGATCTGGCGGGTAACGTGCATGATTCAACGCCATCCATTTCAGTATTAAATGGCAAGGCAATCCTGTGAATTTTCTCTTCCGATCTTGAATGCAAAATATTTTAGCACATAAACAACAGCCTTCCTCAAGTGTGGCAGGTATTGAACATTGGCAGGAATAAAGGCGCTTTCCAAAAATTGCTCTTGCCTTGCCCGGGAATCGAACTCCCGCCTGATTTTATTTTCGGAGTGGTAAGAAGACCTTAAAGTAAGCATTGGTGGTTCAGTGGTAGAATTCTCGCCTGCCACGCGGGAGGCCCGCGTTCGATTCCCGGCCAATGCACTTCCTTTAAGTTCTAATGAGTAGCCCGAATTCACATAGTTCCTTACGCCGTGTTGATGAGAGAAACTGGAAAGTACTACCTGGGAATCTGAAGCTCCAAGAGATCAAACAAGCTGTTCACTGTTGACAAACTGTTCATCAGACAATCGCTCAATACTGACAGATATAAGGGCCCTTGGATTTCATCAGGACAATATGGATGGAAAGAGGAAAAATCTACTCATGTGCTCCATGGACAACCAGAACCAGGAAACTATGGCAAGCCTGACAGAAATAAGGGCCATTGGATTTCATCAGGGCAATATAGATGGAACGAGGACAAATCAACTCATGTGCTCCATAGACAGCCAGAACCAGGAAACTATAACAAGCCTTTAAGGACGCCAACATTTCATTTAACATTTTGTCATCAGAAGAGAATGGGGAGAGTCTGATGTCCACTTATAAGTTGCTTTAGATGACCTGCTTTGCGTCTACGTCCTGTTCCTCCTGGTCTCCACAGACTTGACCCCTTTATTGTGGACTCTGCCATTGTCACCCAACGGAATGTTGACTTTGGGCCTCGTTGGCGCAGTAGGCAGCGCGTCAGTCTCATAATCTGAAGGTCGTGAGTTCGAGCCTCACACGGGGCATTTGTTTTGTAGTGTATTCATTTGGTTCTTGATGGTGATCTGGCGGATAACGAGCATGATTCAACGCCATCCATTTCAGTATTAAATGGCAAGGCAATCCTGTGAATTTTCTCTTCCGATCTTGAATGCAAAATATTTTAGCACATAAACAACAGCCTTCCTCAAGTGTGGCAGGTATTGAACATTGGCAGGAATAAAGGCGCTTTCCAAAAATTGCTCTTGCCTTGCCCGGGAATCGAACTCCCGCCTGATTTTATTTTCGGAGTGGTAAGAAGACCTTAAAGTAAGCATTGGTGGTTCAGTGGTAGAATTCTCGCCTGCCACGCGGGAGGCCCGCGTTCGATTCCCGGCCAATGCACTTCCTTTAAGTTCTAATGAGTAGCCCGAATTCACATAGTTCCTTACGCCGTGTTGATGAGAGAAACTGGAAAGTACTACCTGGGAATCTGAAGCTCCAAGAGATCAAACAAGCTGTTCACTGTTGACAAACTGTTCATCAGACAATCGCTCAATACTGACAGATATAAGGGCCCTTGGATTTCATCAGGACAATATGGATGGAAAGAGGAAAAATCTACTCATGTGCTCCATGGACAACCAGCACCAGGAAACTATGGCAAGCCTGACAGAAATAAGGGCCATTGGATTTCATCAGGGCAATATAGATGGAACGAGGACAAATCAACTCATGTGCTCCATAGACAGCCAGAACCAGGAAACTATAACAAGCCTTTAAGGACGCCAACATTTCATTTAACATTTTGTCATCAGAAGAGAATGGGGAGAGTCTGATGTCCACTTATAAGTTGCTTTAGATGACCTGCTTTGCGTCTACGTCCTGTTCCTCCTGGTCTCCACAGACTTGACCCCTTTATTGTGGACTCTGCCATTGTCACCCAACGGAATGTTGACTTTGGGCCTCGTTGGCGCAGTAGGCAGCGCGTCAGTCTCATAATCTGAAGGTCGTGAGTTCGAGCCTCACACGGGGCATTTGTTTTGTAGTGTATTCATTTGGTTCTTGATGGTGATCTGGCGGATAACGAGCATGATTCAACGCCATCCATTTCAGTATTAAATGGCAAGGAAATCCTGTGAACAATGAGTTGCCCGAATTCACATAGTTCCTTACGCCGTGTTGATGAGAGAAACTGGAAAGTACTACCTGGGAATCTGAAGCTCCAAGAGATCAAACAAGCTGTTCACTGTTGACAAACTGTTCATCAGACAATCGCTCACTACTGACAGAAATAAGGGCCCTTGGATTTCATCAGGGCAATATGCATGCAAAGAGGAACAATTTACTCATGTGCTCCATGGACAGCCAGAACCAGGAAACTATGGCAAGCCTTTATGGACACCAACATTCGGTCGTCCACTTATAAGTTCCTTTAGATGTCCTGCTTTGCGTTTGCGCCCTGTTCCTCCTGGTCTCGACAGACAGTCTTTACAGTTGTCCAAAAATATATTCTCCATTATAGGTGGTTCAGGGGCATTCTTTTTCTGAATGTCTGTACTGCATGGCTGTTAACCACATCAACAAAAAAGTGCGTACTCTCCCCGTCGGGGAATTGAACCCCGGTCTCCCGCGCGGGGACCGGGTATAGTAAGGACTAACTCTCTTAACTTTTACCATTCATTCTCTATGGTAGTTCTTACACTGTGACTGCAATATATTTCTGGCCACAAGTGATAAATTGGGGGCGCTGTTGCATTCTTTTGGTAGAAGTAAGGTGACCCCGTTTCCAGTGACAGAGTGAGAGAGACGGAGCAACAGCAGCAGCATCTTACAGATAGAGAGACGACATTAGCGACACAATTCGACTTCTAGTTCTAACATCACGTTAAACTTATCAAACGTCAGTGGGGCTTATTTTTCTACGACTGAATTAACACTTATGATATTGTTACACTGTTTTTGCAATAGTTGTTAGTTGTTAGTTTGTGTTTAACTCTGTGTGTTGTTAGCGCTGAAGTACTGTAACTTTTGTTAGCTAACGCTATCGTCATGTATTTACAGTAAATGTCAGCGTTAACAGCAGCTGATTTATTACTCATTACACATGGCAAAATAGCTGTCAAATGTGTTTTACAGGTGTATCTTGTTAACACTGATCCAAAATACTGCATAATTTGACTCTTTTCATTGCTGCAGCTCTACTTACTACAGTACATTTTAATCGGGTAAATACTACAGTATTCAGTCTTAAAACTTTTGTTTTGCTATCTTCTATTATACTTTTGTTATTATTTTATGGCTAAAGATGTTACCCATCTGCTTTTCAGTCTGTCTATTCATGTAATAGAAAAGTTGTTACCTAGTCATTACAAATCCCAATTAATGTAAACATGAAATAAAGTGAGTTCACTCACATTGACAGGGCAATACATAATCAATCTTCCTGCCCACCTGCCCCTCTGTTTGTTTGTTTGTCTGCCTGTCTGATCATGTAATATAACATGTGTTACCTATACAAATCCTGGTTAACGTGAATGAATGAAATGAATAACTCTGCTAATATAACATATGATGATTTGTGCACTTCTTAATATATATTTTGCATTGTGTTTTGCTGTGTGCAGGAGATAATGAAGAAAACCATATTCTTCCCAGGAAAGATGAGAGTGTCTTTCAGGAAGGGTCCATCTGGCCACCTGAGACAGGACCCTTCAGAGGAGGGTATGATAATTAAAAAAAATCCTTCCCTTCAGGACAAGTCTGGCGCTCAGAAGCATGAGCATGTGAGGACAAATGCTCTCACTGAGGTCCTTCAGAGGGGAGGGGATGTATCCGACCGACTCGAGGTGATGGGGGAGTACGTGCTACAGTTCGGAAAATATAAGGGGAAACTGTACAGGTGGCTCCTAGAGAATGACGTCGGCTACACCCTCTACTTGATGGACAAGGTGGACGAGGAGGAGAGAGGTGGGACCTTCAACCCCCAAGGGCCTAGCAAGGACAGCCTGCTGTCGTTTCTGGACTACGCCAGGAGCTTCCAGGAAATTGAGGATCTGAGGAAGTACCTGTGCTCCAGGAAGCCTGCCCCACCAGTGGCGTCAGAGGGGGAACATACTGTCGGCTTTGGAGCCAGAGCCAAAGACACCTGGAAGCAGATCTGGGATAGCAGGTCTGATGGTTATGCTGCCTTTGTTTTAGGAGTGAAGTGCATCACTAACAGCAAGATGTACAACCTTCAGCAGTATATCCTCAAGCAGCAGAGGGCTGAGTCCTGTCCACCACCGGCTGAAGGCTGCATTGCATCAGCTACCTCCACTCTGACATCCAGCACTCCAGGTCAGCTCACAGTAATATGCAAATACTGCTTTAAGGTGAACATGACATTGACATAATACATGTTATTGTTTAATCTCCTAGTGATGGAGGAGGACGAGGAGCTGGAGAGGGCGATGTTGAATCTGTCTCCTTCAAAACTCTACACTGAACGAAGTAGGTGGATCCAGTTAGATACACAGTGATTATATAAACTTACTGTACATGTTAAAACTTTGTTCATTGTCACCTGTGCTTTATAGGGCCACCAGCAGCAGTCTCCAGAGCCCCGGCTGTGTCCACACCAACAGGTTTTTATCTAGCAGTGTGGAGGGTTAACTGTTTCCAACAGATTTTCCCTGACATTATTATTCTCAACTAGTTTGTTCTTTTGGCCGTGTTCTGGTCTGTTCTGATGCTTGTGTTATTCTGTTCTCCAACTAACTGAAGGAATTAACATGTCAGCAATGATGGTAAGTGTTTTTCCGTTTTTGCATGCTTTTTTTTAGACTGTCATACAAGGATTTGGCATTTTAAATATTGCAGTGGCTTAGAACACCTAGCTTCTTACCCTCTAAGATATCATGCCACACCTTTGAATGAAAGATGTGCTTGCTATATATGTATACTGTTTCTCTGCTTTACCTGTTTCCAAACACATATAGACATTATGTTTTTCTATTTCAAATAATTGGGATTCACAAGTTAATACAACAGGGTATTTTCATTCTGCTAAAGAGACGACAGGTAAAGACAGATTGTGAAGCTTGAAACAACTTAACACTTGAGGAAAGTGACACAGGATTGTTTCTACAGCTCACAGGACTTATCCAACTGCCACTGCCACTGTGTCCAGACCCGATGGACCTGCTCCTCTGAAAGGTTATTGGGTTTTTATACTCCTCACTTGGATCCATCTTGAATCTTTTTCATACATATTATGTATATATACCCTCATGTTTGTTTCCGCCTTTCATCCTTCAGCCACAGTGAAGGCACCGCTGCCGGTCCCTCCTCAGCTGCTCGCAATTGCCCCAAAGCTCGGGATAGAAGAGCAGGCGCCAAATGTGTTGAGACAAAGTATGTGTTCTTCTTATACTACCAGTGTATCTCGCAGAAACTTACATTTCATTCTGACAAATCACATTGTCACGGTGTCATACAGTATAGTGCTCACGTTTTAGGTAAAGTTAAGTAATGATATCATCGTCTCTGTTTTCATTTTTCACAACTTCTTAAATGCTGCTTCTTAATTTCGATAATGTGTATACGTCACTTGCCTGTTTGTATCTCATCCTCCCAGATTCATCCCCACATAATATAGCCCCTGTGGAAGCGCAGGGAGACACTGTCCTCGATGAAGGTATGAATATCGGTGACACTGTATTATAGCAGTCATTTATATAGAGCTTTATTCAATTTGATCTGATGTAACTGTGTGTTTTACTGTGTTTTACAGATCTGCCTTGTCCAGCGCCTCCTGTCCCTCTGGTCGCACCACACCAGCCTGCAGCCTCTGTTCCGGGCTATAGTGAGGATGTTGCCCACTGGAACTGCTCGCACCAGCAGAACATTTGGATGAAGACTGAGTTGGACACATTGGGTCTGTGGCCAGGTTCACGTCCAGTGAGACACCTAATGAACATGTTGTCCCTGTGGCGTTATCCGCCTCAGCCTGAGCTCATAGACTCAATCTCTAACCTGCCTTCACCCAAGTACTATCAGCTTCATCCATATTTAATTTGGAAGCCAGAGCACGCGATCATGGAGAGGGTGAGAAACAACTTTGTCTTGCCCTGTCTCTATGGTTGTCCGAACCCTCAGGTAGTTTCTTCTGGCATTGGAAGGCCAAGAGTCATCCTTGGGACAAGCGGCCAGTACTATATTTTAGCTTCACGACTCACCTGCAAGGTCTGCAAAAAGTACTGGCATGCTGACAAGCCCCAGTGGCTGGAGAAGCTACCCCAGCGCATCAGCAACATCGTGCCGGCCTTCCTGACGCACAAAAAGGCCGTCTGCAAATCTGTACTGGATGAGATGAGGCGCAGCGGCAGATCCCCAGAGGACATGTCCAAGCAGCTGACGGAGGTGCTCAATCTCAAATATGAGAGAGCTCACCTGGCCTACCTGCTGTGTGTGCAGAATGTCAGGGATGCTGAGGCAGGAGTCTACGGCCAAAGGACCATCACTGGGTTCCTCAGACAGGAAGATACTCCGGCTCCATTTGGTGGATAGTCGGACGGTGATGGCTGGTGTGGAGTTTCTGTCTCTTCCCACTACCTGGTGGAGTGCCTGGTCCGTGAGTATCAGCGGCAGGAGGAGCTCCTTACTCTGCTGCTTCAGGGGGCCTTTGGACAGGCCCTGAGGTCTGATCACACTCGCAGAGTGGCTAGGAAGGTTGTGCTGTCGTCTGGCACCATGTCTTCCTATGCCATCATGAATGAGAACTGGATGATCCTGAGCTGGGTGATGCTGCAGTCAGAGTGTGATAGGTCCCTTAACCCGTTGTATGAGGGTCTGTCTCAACGCTACACTGTGGCTGGAGTGGAGAAGGCACGCTACCAGTGGGTGGACAGGTATAAACAACAAGTTTAAATTGAAAACAGTTGATTCTTTTTTTTTTTGTTCTTTTTTTTAATTCTGCATTTAATTCTGTAATCTGACTCTTCATAAATATAATACACATGAATAATTACAGTTAATTATTACACTAATTTTGTACGAAGATATTGTACAAGGTTTTCAGCTGTAATGACATTTATTTGTAATGCTTTAGGGACTGCTGCGCTGCCTTCAAGGTCCTTCAACCTGGGGCTCAGGAGCACTTGTGGGACAGCTGGAGGACCACAGATGCTATCCTGGCAGAGGCCACCTCTGGAAATCTCAAGAACATTTGCGCATCAAGGAACAAGTTTAACAAAGACATTATGGTCAAGTTGGACTTGTTTCATTGTATGCGGCGGTTTACCAGGGAGTGTGTCTCCGAGCATCATTATTTGTACAGCTCCTTCTGCCAGTTCCTCTCAGCAGCGTTCGTTGTGGTGGACCACAGCGATCTCCAGAAGCTGAAGGAGGCGTACACGTTCTGCAGAATTTCTCCTGCTAACCCCACAAAGCAGCACATAAGAGAGCACTGCAGGACAAAGGTGCCACAGCCAATGGAACTGCTGCAAAGAGTGGAAGACGTCCTCCATCACTATTACATGGCAAAGGATGCCAATGATTTGCTCCTTTTCAAAGACTCAATGTTAAAGGTGTGGAGGATCCAGCGCATCCACATCCTCCGAGGCTGCCTGAGCGACCCTGAAGTGGGAGAGGGAATCCTCTACAGGTATGGTGGCACCCTGCAGCTGAATTACAACAAGGGTGAGGGAGCTGCCGTGCCTGTGTGGATCCCTGTGAGAGGCACCTCTCAGCAGGAGGGTTTCCACGGACACCAAGCCCAATGGGTGACAGGCAACCGGGTGTCCTGTGAACTATTCCAGGCCCAAGCTATGACTGGAGTTGTGCGCTGGAACTACCAGAGGCTGGTGGACCTGAAACAACCAGATGTGGAGCTGCCAGCCGTGTTTGACCCCCGGTTGATTTCAGAGCTTAACACCATCTCTGTAAAAGTGACAGGAAGGTCCAAATACCCAGCACTGCAGCTCTCCAACAGGGACACGGGGGAGAGATTTGGACTGCAGTACGTGGAGCCAGGCTGTCGTCCTGTTGTTTTGAACTGGGACAAGAACAGGGCACAGCCAAACAACCCAGCGGCAGTAGCCATGGAGACAGAGCATCATTGCCCTGCCCCTACTGTTGTAGTGGGCACAGACTCTCAGGTAATCCAGTTCATATTTATATCTACTTACTGTCAAGTACTGACAGACTGGCTGACTAACTAATTCACTATATTTGTGCTATTTCAGGAATCCTGTGCTGATCCAGTTGGGGCAGTGCCAATTCTGTCTTCCAGTTCCCGGCAGTCCTCTGATGTTGTGACCAAGTCCCTGCTGCCTTTGACACAAGCCTCTGCCACACAAAAACCAGAGCCTTTGATAGATACAGGTCATTCAAATTACCTACCTACACTACCTCACTGTTAAAAACAGGCGTGCACATAATATATGTAATATCATCATGTTGAAATATTGTTTATTAACAACAATCATTAAGCAAGTGTATGCAAACTGTAAAAGCCATTGAAAAGCATAATAGAACAAGAGGTAGGAATATAAGATAATCATGTATTTGTCCCACAAAAGTTAAATTAGCTGTGAAGTGAAATGACTAAAAGAGCTAATTGATTTGCAACACACTGGCATCAAACAATATAATTAACATATATTTATTTTTTAGACTTGACAGGGGTAGCACCGCTGCCTCAGTCCTCCTCTCCTCGAGCCACCCGCACTGGACCAATTAAAACTGGTGGCCTCATTCAAGTCTTGGACCATGGTCGGTGGACAGAACCCATGAAAGCTGCCATCGACGAGCTTCTGGTAAACCACCGTGGTGCCAAAGATGTCCTGAAGCGGGTGGATGCGGACTACGCTGCCATGGTCCAGAGGGGATGCACAGACCGGAACAGCCTCCTTCACCCGACCACAGTCCAACATATCTCACGATATGTGAAACATCTGGCAAAATTAAAAAACACCAGCTCTTCCCTCAACACATCCCCAGAAAAGATCTTAGAGACACAGCAGCTGTGGCATAGTTTGACCTCAGGTAGCCAAACTATCAGTGTGCCTGTCATAACTCTGCCACCTGCCATATGCAACCCTCCAGCTGTGGCTCCCAGACAGGAGGACTCACTGAGCAGGGCTTCAGTGGAGAAGATTGTGTCAGACGTCCTGGCAAAACAACAGCAGCAGCATCAGCAGCAGCAGCAACAACAGCCTCAGAAAAAGACGCGGTTGAGAAACTGTTTAGCCTGCGGTCAGCCTAAATCCAGATATCTTGGGGATGGCTCTTCAGTTCATTTTTTTTACCAGTCAAAAACGGTAAAATACTTTTACTGCTCCACCAAGGTCTTTCAGACCTATGCTAAAGAAGGCCTCAAAGACACCAGGATGTCTTTTGAGAACTTTGCTGCAACTGCGTTTTTTGAGCGAGAGCTGGAGGCTGCCAGACAGAGGGGGGCAGAGTGGAGAAAGGTTGCAGAGGAGAGAGGGAAGAGGAAGGCAGCTGTGCAGCTGCCAACAGGCCGTCTCTGCAGGATTTGTCACCAACCCCTGAAGCAGGGTCCCAACAGCCCTCATATCCATGCATACTTCCCAGGGGTTTCAGGGAAGTACATCTACTGCCCCTCCAGAGTCTTCTCCTTATATAATGCACAGGGCATGGAGAAGGAGATGACGTGGCCGGACTTCCAGCAGTCGGACTTCTATGATGCTGAAAGGGACAGATGGATTGCAGACAAAAGGAAGCCCTAACATACCCTCACATACACACATGCACACGCCACTTCCTGGGTCTACTAAGTTGCATACTAACATACAAACTAAGACGTTTTGCCTGCAACACAAACGAGACCCCTAAACTATCAGCCTTTTCACCAGTCCTGCCAATCCTGCCAATAACAAAACAGTTTTGGTTAATGCCCTCAAAATCTGATTGTTCTCTCTGTATTGTGTTTTCAGTGTTTTTAATATATTTGTTGTTCTATTTTTAATATTTCTGTTTTTGAATAAATGATCTTGAATGCATCACTGTGGCTGTCTTTACTTGATAGAGGAAGTAATAGTGATAGAAAATGAAACACACTCATATGCTCAATGTAAACATCTGTACAATCAACATATTTAAAATATTAATTATAAGTAAAAATACAAAGATATTATATAAAACATTATTATTACTAATATTAAGATATCATTATTTGTGTTATTATTGCTATATATTAAGATTAAAATAACTATTATAAGAAGCAGCAAGCAAAGAATAATTCATTTCTAACTCCAAATATCTGTTTCAACTTTAACTTTAAACGTTTGAAAATGTAAATGTAGTGTTTGTGTATAATGAGCAACATTTTGAAACTGAATGTGAAATTTTGTTTGGGTCAGGTGGGATTAGAACCGTCGTTCTTTTGAAGAGGCTTCTGGCCAATAGAAAGTCTTCTATGGGTATACACGGCTTACCCCCGCGTGACAGGCGGGGATACTGACCACTATACTAACGAGGAGATGTTCGACTCTCCTGACTCCGCCCACCTAATTCCAGTCCTTGCCAATGCAAATCTTGTAAATGAAAACAAATTGCTCTTTCAGCCAGACTCTTTGATTCCCCTTCTTGCTCTATGCTACGGACGATTACTTTTCTTCCCTCCGTGAGCTCATCTGCGTTTGACGTATCAACCTTGAGACCTCTTGAACAGGTCTTGGCTTGGCCCCTTTATGCTGGACTCCGCCATTGTCACCCAACGGAATGTTGCTTTTGGGCCTCGTTGGCGCAGTAGGCAGCGCGTCAGTCTCATAATCTGAAGGCCGTGAGTTCGAGCCTCACACGGGGCATATCTTTTGTAGTGTATTCATTTCTGATATGGCGGGTAACGTGCGTGATTCAACGCCATCCATTTCAGTATTAAATGGCAAGGCAATCCTGTGAATTTTTTCTTCCGCTCTTGAATGCAAAATCTTTTAGCACATAAACAACAGCCTTCCTCAAGTGTGGCAGGTATTCAACATTGGCAGGAATAAAGGCCCTTTCCAAAAATTGCTCTTGCCTTGCCCGGGAATCGAACTCCCGCCTGATTTTATTTTCGGAGTGGTAAGAAGACCTTAAAGTAAGCATTGGTGGTTCAGTGGTAGACTTCTCGCCTGCCACGCGGGAGGCCCGGGTTCGATTCCCGGCCAATGCACTTCCTTTAAGTTCTAATGAGTAGCCCGAATTCACATAGTTCCTTACGCCGTGTTGATGAGAGAAACTGGAAAGTACTACCTGGGAATCTGAAGCTCCAAGAGATCAAACAAGCTGTTCACTGTTGACAAACTGTTCATCAGACAATCGCTCAATACTGACAGATATAAGGGCCCTTGGATTTCATCAGGACAATATGGATGGAAAGAGGAACAATTTACTCATGTGCTCCATGG